AATGAATAATTTGTTTTTATTAAAACACTTTTTAAATGTACCTATTTCTAGTAAAAATAGTGTTATGTTATTTTATGTTTGTTTTTAATTTTTTAGGCCTGGAGCAAGATGAATTAATAATTCAACAACACCGAGAAATTGAAAAGGAGGTAGATAAATAATTTATTAACTAACAATAAATGTTTGCCTTAAGTATGTTATTGTTATAAACTGTGCTTGGAAGGAACGTGTTTCAAGGACTTGTTCTTATGATTCCCTTCAATTCTCAGGAACTTATCAGGAACATAGTTAATTTTTAATATGAAAGAAATTAATAAAATTCTGTTAATTTTTTGTTCATATATTCTTAAATACAATGAATTTAAATAATTTATAGTGACCTATATTATACGATAATATATGGAAATATTGACAATTTAAAAAAAAATCCGAGTCAGTCTTAGCGGCCTTATTAGTCTTGTATGAAATAAACAGATTAAATATTTTAAAAACATAACAATTACTTAAATAATTATTTCTACAAATTATATTAATACAAGTTTAAAATTATCGAAAATCAAAAAATATTCTTTATTTAAGAATGAGGAAAAATCTAGTTCCTTTTAAAAGCCATGGACAAAACACAATTAAGTTATTTTTAACAAAATTAACTTGAATATAAACTTATTCATTTTTTAGWGGAATTTTCCATGCACTAGTTATAAAATATTTATTAATTTTATAATTTTAATTGCAGATTTCAGATTCTATATTGTTAATTGGTCAAAAAGAAGAATTAACATCGCTTGAAACTGAATACATAAATGACCCTGTGTACTTAACTAAAATTCAAGATCTAAATAAAAAGTACAAATGCATGAGACGTGCAAGGCCAGATGGTAATTGCTTCTTTAGGTCATTTGCTTTTGCGTATTTTGAATATTTGATAGACCACAATGAAGAATACAAGCATTTTAAAGAACGTGCACTAAAAAGCAAAGATGAATTGATCTCTTGTGGTTTTACTCAATTCACATTGGAGGATTTTCACGATACAGTAATTTTTGTACTAATTATTTGTTATAAATCAATCTTAAACTTTCATTTTTTTTAAATTTTATCTTAGTTTATGGAAGTGGTAAATTTGATCGGTGAAGGCCAACATGAAAAATTATATGATACTTTCAATATGCAAGGTTACTCTGACTATGTGGTGGTGTATCTTCGTTTGATAACCTCAGGACAACTACAAAAAGATGCTGAGTTTTATAAGCATTTTATTGAAGGAGATCGGACAGTTGTAGAGTTTTGTCACCAGGTAAAATTATATTATATCTTTCCTCTTCTGCTTRAATTAAAAAAACAGAAAATATTCTTAGTTTATTATACTTATGTTCACACAATATTGTCAATATTCTAAATAAATAAATTAAAAAAAGTATTAGAATGCCAAAATTCAGTGTGGTATTAATATTTGCTATCACTTGTCGATTAGTATAATCAAATATTTTATGAAAATATGATATTAACATTTAATTATTATTAAACATATAATACACAAGAATTCTAATCATATCATTTTTAATGTTTCGGTGATAATAAAACTATGATATATGTTGAAGTATTTTTTAAAAAGGGGTACTCTTTATTGTTTGTCTTTTTAAATTTAATTACTGTTTTTTTYTAATACAATTATTTAAACARTTTTATTTGTTTTATTATTTAGGAAGTAGAACCAATGTTCAAAGAAAGTGATCATATTCATATTATTGCATTGAGCACAGCATTAAATGTTGGAGTTCGAGTTAGATACATGGACAGAGGTGAATCATCTGAAGCTATTGCCCATGATTTCCCTGAAGGATCTCCAGTTTGTGTTCATCTTCTCTATAGGCCAGGCCATTATGATATATTATACAGTAGATAAAGTCAAACGTTTTAAAATATGAAATTATTTAATTAATACAATCAAATTCAAAATCAATATTTATGATTGTCTTATTTACATATAAAAAAAATAAATGAAATTTATAGTTCCATATCCAAATTACACCAACTCATCAAATATCTTAAGCTTGATTGAACGTCTTTAATAGATTTTTGATAAAATAATATTGTACACTTATACTATAGATTTACTTGCTCACTGATTATGTGTTCTTAAGTTTTTAATATTGTCTTGAAAACATATAAATTTTTGTTTCTAATGTTTCTTGGTGATGTGCAATAATAATAGTATTTTTCTTATGTATATAATTGAAGAAAAAAAKTTCAGTTTATTAAAATAGAAATTATATTAGGCAATTAAACYATAATAAATACAAAATAAATTCATTTACCTTATATTAATTTAAATTTAAAACAAATAATTTATAAAAGWAAATTAATATGTGCAATTATACTCTTAAAGCCATGGCACTGATTATTTTATTCATTAAAAGATAAATTAATCAGTTTGATTATATTTTTATGATATAATATATTAAGATTCTATAATACTAAATATTAATTTTTAAATATTTATACTTCATTTGTCATATTGAATATGTAGTATATTATTTAAGCAAGTTTAATTAAATACATTAATTTGTTATAATGAGTTGAATGTATAACATATTGAATAAAGAATAAAGACTATTGGAACTATCTACTTAATTTAATTATTAACTTAATTTAAGTGAATAATAATTTTTATTTGTTCAAATGACATTTTAATTTATTATACTGTAAATGATATAAATATCAATGTATATTGGTTCAATATACTGTTATTTCAATGTATAATAATTATTTTAATACAGTAGATATAATACTGAAAAATTTTGCAAATAAAAATTATAAACAAAATTAATTTAGGTTATGTAAAAAGATAAGATATACTATCTTGCTGGAACTTAACTCTAAATGAAGTACTGGTTATATTATGTCTCTAAATTTATTTTAATTTTTTTTACCACCATTCAATTTTTTAGTAATTTAGAAATTATTTTAAAATTCCCGACAGCACTCAAACAATATTGCCAAATAAATTATTTTCAGTTAGTAGTTTGATATCTATTTTTTAATGTAAATATTTAGACCGTATTTTAATTTTAATATTGCAACATACTGTTTAATTTAGATTTTTTTTTAAAACATTTGGTTAAATGCTATTCAATTTTAATTTTAAATTTCAATTTACTATAATTTATATTCCGTAGTTTTTTGATCTCATATTAACAATAGCTTGAAACCTAGAATTTTTATTATTATTAAATATATTGAAGTACAAGCAATAATTTACATTTTTTTTTTGTGTTTTGTTTGGACTGTATATTGTTGGAAAATGCTAAGAATTAGGATATTAGATAATTTAGATGAATATTTTTGAATAGTAAGAATCCTTAAAATCCTAACCTGTTAAAGATGTCATATTTTTGTATTTATTTTGTAAAAATAAACTTAAAGATGTTTGTTTCCGGGTACTTGACATAATATATACAGCCTGTTTAAAATTAAAATAAATGTTTTCAAACAAATCAATTGATGGAATTTGGTTAAAAATACTGGAAAATGAACAAAAAAAAAACAAAATATGACTTAAAAATACGAAAAATGACCTAAAAAATTATAAACGTCAAAAAATGAAAAAAATATGCAAAATAAAAGTTTCATACATGGATTCRTAATTACATAATTCAAATTATTTAYTTACAAAGCTATGTTCTACAAATCACCAAAAAAAATGCACTTTCCTATAAATTAACAGCCCTGATTATGACTTGATGACTATTTCAGCTAGTCTGATTTCCAATTGTGTTGTTATGTCTATAATTGGTGTCTTATTAATTAAAATTTAAAATAGTTGTACTGATCAATGTGTACACTCACAAGTATGTATTCAGTACTTAATCACATTTAGAAGAAACCTCAGCAGATAACYTGGGTACAGGGCTATGGCCCAGAACTCTCATATACAGAAAAGTGTATGGGCAGTTGACTAATGTAATGGTGTTTTTATGTACATAATGTACAATACATTTAAAAAACAATAATTACTAATAATTACTAAAAATTTCCTTTTTTCGGAAACCTTTATGTTCATACGGTGACATATTAATTGCATGACTATGAAAATATTAATAGTGATTGGAATAATTGAATGGAATAATAGTTACAGAGATATGTATTAAAATCAAATTAACTGAATCACTTATAGATAGTGGAAGAATTCTRTGTTAACAACCGCTCCCACCAAGTTGTGGTAAAATTTTTTATTAAAACACTCCACTTTAAAAATCMTAGCTATACGCTAATATGAATAAATAATAATATAAGCTATACATAAAAACTGTTAGTTTCAAATGTTACTGTATTGAAAAGAAATTTCACACAAATAGATTGTCATTCAATTATTTCTATAAGTAGTTCAATTAATTTAATTTGTAATTCATTCAATGATTATTTATATTTTGACTACTTATTGTTCAATTATTTGATTATATTTATTTTAAATACTAATCATTAAATTATTTCATCACTATATCACATTGATTATAGCTTTGATATTGTGTGATTAGTCTATTAAGTCTTGATTGTATACCAAGTGTAACTTGTTAAAAATGTGCGTATCATTACCAAAGCTCCATGATATGTAACAAACAAACTACTCCACTATGACCTCCAAATCAAAACAGTCCACGACACAGCCATCAATTTCTACAAAAGGTACCTTGGGAAACTTCTRATGAATAAACACCTTCTTAACTTATAAAATATACCATATTATATATAAATTTACCCTAAATCACAGTAAATGGTGACTCGAATGCGAGTCTTTTTTCAAGTCATTCATAGCCTATTGTATTTTATATTATTCTTACTATATGATATTTACTTATTGTATACAGTAAGTATACTATTTACTTATTGTACATAGTAAGTATACTATTTACAATCAGTAGATTATAAATTCTCAATAAATGCCAAAAAAAAACTTATTAAAAACAATTTTTAACGAGATAATATAATAAAGACATGGATTCAATTTCTTTTTTTTATTTTTTGTAATAAGAAGCTGTAGGCTATAAATCTGGGTCCTTAATTCTCATAAAAACAGCTAAAAACTTGTCTCCATTATTTCTGGTCACTTTTTTTCCTTCTTCTGAACTTTCATACAACTTATCGACAACAGGATCATCTTTCTGCAAATAAAATTTGTTAAATATTTATATATTTACAAAYTACAATTAATGATGACTAAATACAATTACCAGGTCATCATCTTGTACACGTTTAAATAGACCATGTTCGGAGAAATGTTGAACCATCCATTCATGCAAATCTTTTACATCAGTAACTGTATACACTAGTGCCTAAGAGTAATGACAATTGTGTTTAAACATAAGATTTCAAGCATATTAATGAAAGACCATACTTCCTCAGCCAGCACATAAGCATACTCAGACAATGTAGTGTCATTAATGATTCTCCATTTGTGTTTGGACTTTTTAAAATGGGGGTCTGGATAAAGAAAAAACATCTTTTTTATCTAAAAATAATTAATAATTAGTACAACAATAATTATCATATTATKATGTCAATCAACTGACTTGGCCTTTTTTGAAAAAATTTGGTAAATATTTGATAGCATTAGTTCTTATACATGCTATATTATTGTAGAAATTGGGTTGATTAGCCCTAAGTGCTTTAATCCTCTCAATGACATATTGAGATACTTTTACTCTTATTTCCATCCCAAGGATCATCGAATCCGGAAACATAGGTGATAGGGTAACTAAAATATAATTTAATAAAAGTTGAATAAATATTTCCATTGATTAATATGATATTTACTTACCTAAGAGGCCTCCATAACCACATCCAATATCCAACATTTCAACACGTTTGTTATAAATGTTGGACTTAGCATTCCTTACATCCGGGTAAAGTGTTGACCAATCGTAAGCCTCTGGGCAACTGGGACTGTTCAAAAGAGAAATATTATTAATTATTGTGTATTTTAGTCAAATAATAGAATTATATTTACTAATCGAAATCGTGATCGGCAATAGGATTTGAATGAGCTCTTTGCCTGTAATACTTTTTTTGGGGCAAAGATAACTCTTGCCTGTCTGCTTCATCTTCGTGTAATGGTCGTTTGATTATCTCCATAGTCCCTACGGAACGTTCTCTAAACGAACAGTAGTCTAAACTGCCGTTGACGTAGTTACTTCGCCTACAGCAGTCTGTAGTTATTAGTTAACATGAGTAGGTACCTAATTTAATTCAAAATTAATAACACGAATGTCTGTGTCCCGGTGAAGATAACTTCAACTATTTTCATAGTTTCTATATCACTGATAAGAGACCAGTTGATACAATTTATATGAAGTTGCATTGGTTGCATTTATAACATTTATTAGGGGCAATTTAATATAATTTACAGTGTAGTGGTTCCAGATTTCTAGACGATATTAATATTCCTACACCCAAGATCTAAAATGCAAATTAAAAAAATCGTAGTTAACTATCAGAAAAATGAGCATCCACTGGCTCATCAACTTGATGCTTTCGTAGACGAAAATATGATCCACCCGGTCAGGACAACATTATTTGTACAGAAACGACTTATTCTACGAGTCTACACTAACGCCTAACAATATATATACCTAATAATAATACGATAAAGTTTTATCTATATTGGTATACTGTATCGAATGCTTTATTTTTTATTAGTTTTCAAACGAATCACGACACCAGTTCCTTTTTTAGTTAACGCCTGGAGTCACCAGGTAAGGTGTGGGTAGATAAGTTTTTTTATAAGTGGATTTTGATGCGATTGAAAACGTGCCGCTTCTGTTATAGTTTTCATTGTCAGGCCATTATGTAAAATTGTAAAGTGTAATTTTATTTTTATTTTTGATACATAGCGTTATGTTCCTAAGTGCAATGTTCTGGAATTGTTAGACTTTGTTGATGTTACAAATTCTTGAAGTATCCCATAGTTGAAGACCATTGTGGCAAGTATTGATTTAGATTTAGGTATACATAATAATTTTAAATTTTAATGTATTTATTTTTTAATAGTAATGTTACTTGCGTTTAAGGCAAGTCTTTTAATACGGATATGGCTATTCCAAGTGAGATGCTTATCCAAGTTAAGACCAAAGAAACTTTTCTAGTTCCTGTTCCCGACAGATCACCAAGTACATTGTTTCCAATTATTATTGAACATGTTGCTTCAGGAACCACAATAATTGCTGATGAGTGGCACTCTTATTCCTACTCCTACCAAAGGCTTGATCTAACTAATCAACATATTTCCGTGAATCATTCCATTAATATAATATATATATATATATATATTATATAATCATCTAAAAAAACGGAAAAACTAAAAATAAAATAAAATAGTGGTAGTGAATTAACGGAAAAGGTCCAATTAATTAAAAAGAAAGGAATAAGAATGGATTGGATGTGCATTTACATTAAATAATGTATTAAAATATTTTTCGTCATCTATCTGTCAAAAAAGTTTATATTTGGAAAAACCTCGCTCAACATCTACCGAGGCGAGATATACGAGTATGATGTAGGATAGATTTTGAAACAATTTGAACTTTAAATACGTATATGGTCGTTTCTGCATATCTTTAATATTATTCTTGAACTTCTATCAAAGCAACTTATGAGGACCCTTATAGCCTTATATGGGCGCAAGCTTGCATTTAATTTTTAAGCTTTTTTACTAAGTGAAAAGGTTTCTATCGACAAAAATAAAAAAAATAATTTACATTTGAAAAATATCTCAAGAAGTCAAGAGTATAAAAATAGCTTTACAATATGTCAAAATATTTTTACCATAATATGGAAAATTACAAAATAAATATTTAGTGAACATTTTAAGCGTCTATTAATGGCAATTGTTATTTTGGCAGAATTTGTATATGAATAAACCATGGCAGCAGAAAAGTAGTATAACTGTTTACACATACTCTGACCTCTGAAGTTGGTTATACAAAAAAAAAAGTTTGCTGTCGATTAGATTAAAAACTCAAACAAATATAAGTGGGCGCTTATGTACCTATGCTTGTATTGCAAGAAATTATCTAAAGATTCTAAATCCTATAGTAAATTCTTAAAGTTTTAATAGATTAAACTTATAGGTAATATTATATTAAAAAATACCTACCTACTTTTACATTTTATGTTTGTTGTAGGTACGACGCACATATTAAAAGTACTAAAGTACCTACCTATATATCATTGTATATAATATAGAAGTTCCACAGGTATATATAAATATATATATATTGGTTCACTCTCCACTGCACCGTACGTGTAGCTATTTAGTTTTTATTTTGTTAACATAAATATATTATTATTTAGCGTAATTTGTTTAAAAGTGTTTTAGGTAGTTATGGAACAGTGGAAAGGCAAAGTAGCGATAGTAACTGGTGCCAGTGCAGGAATCGGCGAGGCAATTGTTGTCAAGTTGGTGAAATACGGGGTTCATGTTGTAGCGCTCGCTAGAAGAGAAGTTAAACTTAAGGTTATTTTTATTAAGTTCTCACAAACTTACATTTTTTAAAATCTTAAATTATAATTTATAGGATAAATTTTAAATAATAAGAACAAGGTAAACCGCGAATGATTAAAATGTCCCAGGAAATTACCGCGTGATACCCAATATATTATAATAATTAATAATTTTCTATGAAAAGACATATATATATTTTTTTTAGAGAATCATCTTAGATATTTACTATTTAATATAATATACCTAAGCATCTGAGTACATAACTTATTTTTATGACCACCCAAATTATTAATTAGATTTACTTTCCTAAAAGAAAAGTTGGTGAAATAGAAAATCGAAGCATTTTTAAAAAGTAATGACAGTCACAATTTTTTTTCATACGAAAACCATTATAATGTTCATTTGTTCATCACTCCAGTCAGAATATAAAATATTAATACAAATTTTATATAAATGCTGGCATATAGACACATAGTGCAGCCAAAATCGTGATGCAACAACATATACGACAACAGCCATCGTAGATCCGCAAATAAATATCAAACAACTTACTTGTAAACAAAGTAGGTTTTTTCTTAAATTATTATTACAAAGTGTTCCTGACAAGGTAATTTAACTTATTGATAACTTTAACATTTCTAACAGCTAGTTATACAATTGATAATGCATAATTATTTAGAAATTATTTTAATTATTTGATTCAAGTAGGTAAATTTTTTCGGTATCCCGGTAAGCCAATTCGTCACTGGAATACCTATTATAGTATATATAACAATAAATAATTATAATTGTATAAAACATATTATTATTACATAACCAGATTAGGAGTATATATTGTATAATATCTATAAAATATATGAATCATATAAGTGCAAAATAAAAACGACTGACATTTTAATTATACGTTCATACATTTTATTTAAAATATTATAGTTTAATCGGACAGTATTATACATTTTGAACTGTTCCAGAATGGAGTTAGGATTTTTTTGATTTTTTTAAATATGGACTATTGATTATTACGCTTATTTGTTTTTATAAATTTAAATTAAATAAACTAATTATCACTAAAATATAAAAAAATCCTCATAGATTTATCATAGATKGTTTTATAACTTAAAGTATCATCTAAAATAATCAAAATAAAAGCACTTAAAAAAACATTAAATGAAGCAATAAAGCCATAGGCGCAACTACACCTCTAAAACGTGGGGTGCTATAGGTACTATTAAAAACATAAAATTAATGATTTTTAATTATAATTATAATAGTTAGATCTAAAATATCAAGGGGTGCTAAAGACCCTTTTGCTATTTGACCCCCCCTAGTTGCGCCAATGAATAAAGCAACTACAAATAATAGTAAATCCCTCAAATATAAGAAATTTAAAAAAATAGGGTTCCCGCTCATGTTTTTCCTAATATGTTATTAGATACTATAGGTATTCGTGTTTGATTTTGAAAGAGAACAAAAAAAAAAAATACTAAATAAAACACAAAAAAAGTAAACCAAAATAAGCAAAAACATGCACTTTAAAATGTCATAAGTATTTTTAATCATAGTAACACCAACTTGCATAATATCAATAAATCAATTTCTATCACACACTGCTAGATTTTAAGTCAAGCCAAAAAAATAACCAAATGCTAAAATAAGTCGCGAATTTTGGTTATGACTTTTGGCTTTAAAGATGTATTGCAAAAATGTTTTCTATTTGAATAGAATTTAGATAGAAGGAGTAAAACACGTAAGACGCATTTTAAATAATTAAATATATATTTTTTTTTAATCGTATTGAGAACTGATACGAAATAAATATTTGATTATTTACCGTACCTATAGTTATTAGTTTTCTATACTTTATCAACTATATACCTGAAGATTATGTAAATGTTAAAGTAGTTTTATAATACCATTTATTAAAGGAATTAGCAGAATCACTAAATGGAAAAGAAATTAATTATGGTACTGTACATACAAAAGTTTGCGACGTGACAAATGAACAAGCCGTGAAAAATGTATTTTCTTGGGTCGATTCTACATTAGGAGGTGTTAGTATTTTAATCAATAATGCTGGAACCGCAAAAATATCAAGTCTTCTAAGTGAGAAAAAATACATTTATATTTCATTGGTTTCTCTTAATTACATATAAATTTTACATTATTAATTGATTTAATAAGACGGAAGATTGGAAGATTGGCAAGAGATGATGAATCTAAATGTGTTGGCATTAAATGTGTGCTCAAGGGAAGCTTATCAATCAATGACAAGAAATAAAATCGATGGTCATATTATTCAAGTTAACAGGTAATAGCGTATGTTCAAAATTATAATTCATTAATTAATTAATAACTTAATTGAGTGTACAAAATATTTAAATACACTTGTTGCTAAAAATATAATAACGAATCGTTGTTTATTATTTTAATTTTATTCGTACATTCTACAGTACGACTGGTCATAATATAACACCATACTTTTCAATGAAAATGTATAATGCAACAAAACACGCGGTTAGCGTCTTATGCGAGGGCCTTCGTCACGAACTGCAGTTAGTAGGCTCAAAAATCAAAGTGTCGGTATGTATAATTTCAAACAATCTGAGACCTGTTTCATAAGCACATTTTTCTAGATTTACATTATTTAAGTTATTGTGATGTCGGCACGTATGGCTTGAATCGATGACATGTACGAACTTAAACAATGTAAATCGAAAAATAGAATGTACGCGAGGTTGTGAAATTGTAAAGTATAATAATTGAATAACAAATAATAACTTGTATTATAATTTATATTTGTAAAATATTTTAATATTTTAAGAGCTTAAGTCCGGGAGCGGTTTCAACAGAACTTTTATTGCATATTCGTGAACGTAGTAAAGAACCAAATTCAACAGCTCAAGTAAATAACATAAACATACTTCAAACCGAAGATGTTGCTAACGCAGTTATCGCCACTTTAGCCACTTCACCAACTGTACTAGTAAGTTATTACAGTTGTTAGTACAGTAAATAGTTGTACAGTTGTTACTTGTTAGACACCTACGTTATTAATATAATATTATTATACTATAACGATAACAATATCCAATTAGTGTCAAATCAAAATAGTTTTTAGTTTTAACCTAACCTATGATATAATATCAGTTCAGTTTTGATAACAGCAGACTAACAGCACACTCAATACATATTATATATTTATAGTTATAATTATGCTTAAATCGGGCATTTTAGTTGGATCTCAAAATATACAAGGGCCTAATCGTAGGTACTACTGTACTACACTATTTAGGTTCCGGATTATGTCAGATAGATACTACACTAATTGGGTCACTAAATTTTTTAGTGAGTATTATTATATCTTAATAGTTAATGTGTAAATTCTAATAACTAAAATGTTTAATGGCAAAGAAATTCGAAATAAAAGAAACTGTAAAGAATCATTTTTTATCATATTTTGGTTCTAAATAGATCATAGTCAGCCCTAAGTCTGTTAAAATGGGAAGAAAAATGTTAGGTTTATGTAATACTCACCTAAAAATTTTAGGGACTTAACTAGTATAACACCTAAAATAATCCCAGGCCCATTTTTATACTCTTTTCCACGAGAGACAAGGTCACACACCGATCAATACTGGTTCCTCCTCGTGACACTCTGTCATGGGGAATTGATTATGTTTATGGATTTATACGGGAATATGAGAAGAAAAGATCCTCTCTCTCGTGAAACAGGGTATAGAAGAGCAACTTTTAATTCAGGAGCCAACTGAGATGCAGCCTCTTAAATTACCTACCTATAGTTTTACGCTTTATAAATTAAAAATATAGTTATATTCATAATAAATGGTTGTTCATTACCCGTAGCATGTTTAGACTGTTTAGTGTTTACATAAAGACACTATAAAGTATAGTAATAAAGTATAAGCTAATTAACAAAAATAATTAAGATTATATTAATGTATATCAACTTATAAAAAAAATAATAATAGTATTTTTATCACATTTGTGTATCAACAGATAGCTGAAATGACAATCTTGAGTAAAGGATCAACAATACAACCACATTTTCAACCATCGTCTACAGTTGTGGACAATTTATTAAATTCATAAAACCATGTATTTTCTATTATACGCGCAACTAAATTTTGGTTTTTCGTATTACAATTGGTTATAAATTATCATTATTATAATTCAAAATTACGCTTACAAATAAAACAGCAAATAAAAAAATCAAATATTACGGTTTTAGGTTTTAACAATATAATTTTATCAACCAATAAAAGATAATATGAATGTTCGTATATTATACAGAATTGTTGTGCAATTCAAATTAATTTCATAATAATGTTATAATACCTAGTTAATAAATACATTTAATATTTATTGTCTTTTATTTTATCTAAACGGTGTGTGTGTGTGTGATTAAATTGGAAAGTTTAGATAATATAAGAACATTCAAGTGATATAAATGATACTAGTCATAAGTCATTAGAAGACATTAATTAGGCTTTTGATAGGAATTGTCAATTTGGATTAAGTTAGGTAAAGAACATTTTTGGCATGTGAAAATAGTGACTCTCATTGTTTGCAATAATTGATATAATCCCAAAATGCAAAACGTATACGTAATAACCAAATAACTGAAATACCTGACGGCTAATGCACACATGCAAAGGCGAAACAACTGATCGGGTCAGTCATGGCTTGATCTAATACTCACTGGATGATATAGTGATTTAATCATTATTTAAAATTTTAATAAAATACTTTTTTTTTAATTAAAATGTTTTATTCATATTTATCATTTGGACTATCCTAATACGATTTTCTAGTTTATCATATGTACCTACAACACACGTAAATACGTCATGCCAGTATATGTCACCATTAATGAGTTAATGAAGTAAATTAATAATTATCAAACATTGATAGTCAACAGGATTAAGGAACATACAAATAATAGTCACAATAGTTGCTGACCAATTACAAAATTTGTGATGATATAATGTTTATTTATTTTAAATAATGATTTTCTCAGCACTTTAGAACAAGATATTATAATATCCTTTGACGTTGACCATTTATGATGTGTCCATACTACATACTAATATCAGTAATATATTATATTTAAATATGAGAAAATAACAATATTTTTGCATCAATAAGTACCTGAATATGTTCAAGGATAAATGGATTATATATCTTAACTTATTAACCCGATGGTATGAGAGAACTACGAAAAGGCTATAGATATATTTAGTCATATACTACATAATCTGATCCAAAAACATCGATTATTAATGATACAAAATATTTTATTAACTTTTAAAGAAAACGGGTAAAATTAATACAATTTACTGAAATAGTTTGCAAGCGATTAAAATATTACCTAACATATAAAATATGAGTGTGAAATGTTTAATTCTTATTTTGTATTATACCTACCATATAGTCTTATCCTATATAGTGAAAGTAGGCGTTTAAACCATAATAATATTGTACGAGAGCCCGAAGGTTTCACGATCATATTGTACTTAACTGTTCAGTGTTCAAGTAATAGTGACACGAGAACGAGAGAAACGGGTAACAAATATAATAATTACAGTTTTAAAAATAATGTCTGTAAGATAGATTTAGGGTATACGGTTGTATAGATTATAGATCATAACATTATTATTTGATATTTGAAAACTGAAGGCAGCACATATCTATTAGTTATTACTTATTACACATCAATTATCAATATATATGTAGTATATCATTATAAGCACTCGCTTAACCTTCACTTTTCGAGGATTTGAGTGTATTATATTATTACTAAATACTAAGTGCGCACCTCGCCATTTCGCGGTCACGCAGTTCTCGTTGAAATTTAAACAATACGTCTGGAACCAATTTAATGATAATAGGTATATGTGCAATATGCATATATATAACACTGCGAGGAAAAGTGATATATTTAATCCTTTTTTTATTCACTATTTTATCCACAACAAAATCTTAATTAACTACATATAATATGTCATCATCATATATGTGCTATACATATACATGCGTATAAATAGTAAATAATATTTGATCCATGGAAATATAGAATATCTTTGTTGTATATGACTAGCTGATCGTGCACGGAATCGCCCGTGACAAATGAAAGCCTGTGAATTGAATAAATTATAATACAGTAGGTAAATTATTAATAATTATATAATATAAATGTTCTTAATTTTATATAGGTATTTTATGTCTGATTCTAACTGATCATTTTATTTTATTTTTCACGATAAGATGGAGAGAAAATAAATTTAAAAAAAAAAACAATGTATTTTTGTTAGATTTGAAACGTTTCGATGATGGCGTAAGACCACATGCAGAATAATAGATATATCGTATAATATATCAAATAACACTGATCCGATAATTTTCCATCGTATTCAGTAAAAAAGTATATGTTTTTGAGATCTAATTCGCTCGATTTGTAGCATAGTGTCTAAAAACAATATATTCTACCAAAAGAACTTACTCCCGTGAACATAGCGTTTGAGATTTGAGAATGCCGTACTAATAATAAAATATTGAATAAGCTTAAAATATAAAATGGTGGGACACGGGAGGTATATATGAAGGAGAGGCCTAAATAGGCAGGGCCTGATTTAATACAATCAACCAAAAATGTCCTAAACAAATTTACTTAGAGAGGGGGAAATGTTGATTATAATAAAAAATATTTATATGTTAAAAGTGTTAAATACCTATCTCAAGACTCATAAAATATTTGTATATTATTCATATACCTACATAATTTCACATTTGTAATAACTAAATATGTATATAATTCTTTTAACTTAACTATTTCATAAAGCAAAAAAATGACAAGGTATAAAAAATTAGTTGACAAAAGATTTGACGTTCATTAAGTTTTATTAAATTTTAAACAAGTATCATTTAAAAAAAATACGACAACACAATTCATTTAAATGAACATTATTTTAGACGGAAATGAGAAACTCATTAAAGTTTAATTATTATATTTTATTTTAAGTTTTAGTAACCTAGCACTTATACCCATTATTTTACTAAAGAATCGATCAATAGAGCCGTACAGTTTTTTTGTTCTTCTTTTCCTAATTTAATTTTCCGCTTTGCCACGACATACCTATTAGTTATTGCCTACCAAACTTTCAAAGCAATTATATTTAAAATATAATATTCATGAAAAATTAAAAAAAGGAATTTCGAATATTAATTATCACATTATTACTCACGTATTCAAATAATACAAACGTGAGCGTACAATTTATATACCACGGTACTGAAAAACATCAATATTGAACTGCTAAAGCATAATATTCATAGTATTACAATAACAAGATTCTTCTACAACTTAAGGTGACTGGGCCCTTCAGAATTTGAGAGGGGGCAAGTGCAATACGTATATTTGTGCTTATAATAGTAGTGTATGATTTATACAAGTAGCTGGTAGGTACTGTTTATTTAGGGAATAGTAAGTACTAAGTTTCTACACGAAGATAAAAATAAAATGTATGTAAGTTCCTACACGGTAAAACAAATGTATAAGACGTAAGCTCCTACATAGTGGTAAAATTACTATTAACCTACCTATTTATTTATGAAAAGTAGTATGTGATTTTATTATTTTTTGAAGACATTATTATACCTTATATCGCTTATATCTTGCATTCTTGCGTGTGTATAATATTTTTTAATGGATATAATATGTCATAGTGTCATACATCATACCTGCATTTGTTGTCTCTGATTTTTATACACGTACGATATAACTAATGTTCGTTCACCAGTTTCATTAGTATGCTGTTTGTTTTGACATTATTAGAGTCAATCGGCTAATTTACAATTTAAAGGTTAGGTTATTATCTAGGGCCCCACGTAAAATTGTATTGATATTATTTTCAAGTAATAAGTTAAGATCTTTTTGAAATAATACGTTTTAAAATAATCCTATTTTAGGGAAGAGGATTGATGTTGATGTGTTGAAGCATTTATATAGTATGTCTTGTATAATTTAGGGTTAATATTATGTATTATACACTTAACTTATGTCTTAAAGTTATTATATTATATATTAACCTTATTGCAGCTATAATAACGTACTCGTGTAGTGATGTCGCCTTATAATTGGCTTATATAATATATGTACCTATTGGCTATTGTACCTATAACCTATTCAAATTAAAAACACATACTAACCCGTGTCTCTAATCTTTAAATATTTATATAGGTATACTAGGTACTGTATATTATTATATACTAAAGGCATATTACGGCGGAAATTAATAATTGGTTGGTCTAACTTCAATAATTTTAGTTAATATGGCATAACTACCTAGCTATAATTTTAAATTTTTAGACTTAGATAGACAGATACCAGTGTACCAACACTTATTTACATAGTTTTAAGCAAACAGCTTTAATACAAACAATTTTTGTTTACCAAAGTTATAAACATTATATGATTATTAACTATACAAGTGTATAACAAAGTTATAATATATAATTCTTAGTATACTTGACAGAATTTAATTTATTTTATTACTTAAGCTAACTATATAAATCTATAATGTAATGCAGTTAATTTAACTATAGGTATTTCCAGTTTACTAAGATATAGTTGATAAATATGTTTCCATCAAGTATGTATTGTGTAACACATATATTCTAAACATGMTATGTATATAAGCACGTCACGCATTATTATATAACAATATGGTATAAAATTATTTTTCATCCACATGATAGAATGATACTATATATATATATTAATCACATAGGCGTATGGATATATCATATATCTGGTTAGAAGTGTTCAATTCACATGCACGACATCCTGACCCCCGACAACGTGTATAGAAGGTACTATAGTAAGTGTATATATGAACTATATAAACCAAATATATAAATATATTTATATAATATTATTTAAAAAATTTAATAGATATATAATAATATAATAGTATGTAACAACAATCGCTGAAGGAAAAAACCCGTACATGGTCATACGACAAACACACATTATACACCTTTTTTACAGAGACCGACACCAATAATGTTTACATCAGACGTGTCGCAAGACCTTTCCCGCTGCTGCAGCGGCAGAATATCGAAGGATAATTCTTGGGTTAGGAGGTACACATAATAATGAACGAACGTCTCTCCGCTGGAACCATGACTTGACGGGCTCACATGAACGCAGTCGTGTCTAGACGTTTTTCGTGTACGCACCGAGAACATAAATATTAAATAGTATAATAATATTACATAGTCGAATGCCGTATACTTCTGGMTATATATTATTATCATATCGTAATAAATAATAAAAATATTTTTGAACACTGTGTGGAAATAAAATGTCTTTCAAAACGACAGTCGCCGTTTTAGCGGTAGTCGTGATGTGCAGCAACGCTGTCAATGGAGTTCTGAAACAGGTAAAACGCACATGAACATACTTATAGATTTTATATTTATTAATAGCTTTTAGTAATAAGGTACCTAATTAATTATAATCAATTAAATTAGGTATATCATCGGTATGATTATATTATTATGTTTTTTAAGCTCAAAGTTGAATTTCAGTATAATATACCAAGTAGTGGCAAGTACACTATCGTAGAAAAACTATACGGATAAAAGATAAAACCTAAGTATACGAATAGTCATATGGCATAATCATAGTACAAAAGCATCATGGGTAAGATATGCCGGTCACTTATTTTTATAGTAATTCGTTTACAATGCACTTTGCCACTTTATATATGCAGATTGCAGGTACTGCAGTATTGAGTAAATATAGATGATAATCTGCATATAATACAGCCTTTAGCTCTTATAAATCAACAGATGATATTTACATCAATATATATAAACTATGTTTTTAATGTGGAATTCAGCTGAAAACGCTGTAAAATTCCAAAGAAACTAATCTATAATTGAAATTGCACTTCACAACATTTATTTATGCAGCGTGTGAATAAAATTAACGTTATGCAGTACCTAATACGAGTTTCTAATTTCTATACTATGTACTGATTTTGTTGTTGTTTTTCTTTCTTCAGAGACAAGCGTACTCCGGCTATTCCAACGGATACACTCAGAACCACAAAGACGAGAGTCACCAAGATCTGAGCAAAGTTCCGGGCACACCGGGAGTAGACTATCCAATTTACCACGCTGTGCCGGAGACGAGTTTCAATTGCAAAAACGTACCATATGCACCGGGCATGTACGCCAACGTGGAGACCGGATGTCAGGTATAGTGTCTAAGATATTATATATTCGCCATAAAATATATGAGAACACTTGAGACTTGACTTAATATACCAAGTAATGATAGGTATACGTCTATAATATAGATCGAAGGTACTTCTGTAGTTTAAATTCCTGTGTCATAAATTATATATATACATATAGGTGTACCGTGTACAATTTACCAGGCGCGGATCCAGAATATATTTATGGGGGGGGGAGCATCTTGGATAAAATGTCGTAATCGACAAAACAGTGTATTTTAACAGCCCGCCGAAATGAGACATTCTAGAATTCGCCAGTCTACGGGGCGGGGGGGAGCGTTTTCTTGGATCCGCGCTTACAATTTAAAATACGTCAGTCATTATTGCATTCTTGCAGGGGCGCGCTCACAATTTTGAGCGACAATCTATTTCAATATAATATGACAATTGAATTTCGAATGAATAMATGTAGCAGAAAAGTATTAGGTACCAACCTTTTAGAACGAATTTTTTTAATAAATAAAAAAAAACCAATGCCTAGGTATATATAATGAGTTTCATTGCAAAATGTTCGAAAACCTGTTTTTATGAAGACGCGTCTTGCCATGGAACTCACTCATTCGTATTTGCAGTTACACATGCAGCGTACTACATGTATTATTCGATATGCAATAATTACATTTGAGTTTGACCCACATCTAATAGACAACAGTGGCGTTCATATAGTCATCATATTGCGTAATTGGTATTTGGCAATTACATAATATGGAGATAGTTCTTTAGAGAAATAAGAAATACAATTTTTGATCGTCACGCATTGATATTATTATGATAATAGTAAAAGAGAACGTCTTTTAACTGCTCTAAATACCGAAAATAAAAGTATTTTCAAACAATTAATTAAACCTGGAAATGATCGATTAAACCTCGAAATGATCGTGTTATGTTTTGTTACTCTAAATATGATCAAAATTTAATATTCTCATTCGTCATGTTTAAAAATTGATTTTATACAATCATACCTACACGGAAAAATATTTAGGTACCTATTGGTATTACCCTGTTGATATTATTATGGTAATAGTATAAGATAATGTATTATTAGGGCGGGGTCGCGGGGGGACCACAACAAAATATAACAATGCACTATGCAGTGAACAAATATGCAATGAGCCGCTGCCTTAGCCTTACTGTATGTTCTTTGTTATAATCTAGAGTACTTTCGCACTGTTTTGGAGACTTGGAGTGCACCCGGTCTAAAATAGGTACCCAGGTCCCAGGTACCGAAAAGAAAAGTATACATTTTAAATAAGTTAACTTTAAAATAATCGTATTATCATATTTTTTCTCCAAACCTATGATGATCAATTACTTACACAATATTATATTTCGTTAAAGTTTAAATATCGAATTCATACAATCATACATGGGATAAATATATATGTATTATAAGTGTTGTTATTCGTATGCACAATACACTGTTTGAATATTCAAATCTATATTTTATTATTTTCTAAATGTCTAATATAAATTTAATATACCATTACTATGTAGCCTATGTAGGTACCTACTATTAATAATTGATACCTCCTAATTAGTTGTAGTTACTGAAGTTAGTCATCTTGATTTTACTTATTTTATATTTCGGGTTAAATATAATATAATATTTGTATATAATATATTATATCATTTATGGAAAATTGTTGGAGCATAAACGCCATAATCAAAAACATTTAAAATTGTCATATTTTATTAAGTACAATTAAATATTAATAATTAAAAAGAATGCATTATTCTGCAGTTTTTCAGATATTAGATTAATGACATTTTATATATTATAGGCTTACCATATCTGTCATGACGGTCGCGAAGGTCATCAGGGAGCATCTTTCTTGTGCTCCAATGGCACTCTGTTCAATCAAAAGGAATTTACATGCGATTGGTGGTACAACGTGGACTGTAGCAAGGCGACATATTATTACGAGTGAGAACATATTCTTCACTTTTCATAAAAAATATTTAATTTATTTCAATAACTTTTTAGCCATTTAAATGGCTATATTATAAGGTATGTTTTATCAATACTTCTTTTTTTTAATGTTTAGACTTAATACAGATATAACAAAAAATCCATTTGCTCCAAAACCAAAAGCCCCCGAGGAACCTTACAAGCAACCATACGACAATTATTACCAGAGCCCAAAGTATTATCTGTAAATGCATTTGTTATATATACATATATATTTTTTTTAATGTAAATAATGTGTAAATTGTTTATACATACTTATAAATTTTACAATAATAAAAAATACATTAATTCTAATTATATTGATATACGAGCAACTAGTGTTATGGTTCCCATCATCATAAGTCAATGGTATTAAAAATTACTAAACATTTTACACTTAAATTATTTTTATTGTACCATACTTATATATTATATTTTTAAATTATAATATTAAATTCAGTAGCACAAATAGTGCAACATCAGTTACCTTATTCAAAAACAATGTAGCAATGTAGTTAACCTAAACATATTGACCATATTATTATTCTATTTTAATATTGATACTAATGGTACCTATGATTTAATTATTAATTATTATCAATATTAAATTTAAAATGATATAAACACATCAATACATCATTATTTTCCTGCGTTTTTATGTTAGATGAATAACTTTAATTCACTTTTGTGTATATTAAGCCATTAGATGCATACTTGTTGATCTTTTTTTATGGTACATTATAAATTTAAAATACCTAAAAATGATTCAATTTTATTCATAGTGATAGATTTTATTTGTACAAATTAATAATCAAGGTTATATTATTTACAATTTTTCTAATTAAGTTCTACGAATGGGATAAGTTTTGTATTGATTGAAAAGACCACAGTATCATGGTCTATGGATATTGGATATCAAAATTTAAGTTTTATTTTTGCTTGTGAATGATTAAAAAATAAATTCCTTTTTATAATGAATTAATTATAGTGATTAGTGACCTGAATAAAAGCATGCAAAATGGTTAACACCTTGGCGAGAAAATACATGTTTAATACTATAATTAAAGAAATTGCGGATGTTTTGACCATGATGTGATACTGTGATTAATGACAGAATAATACCTAGGAAAAATGATAATATTATTATTATTATATTCTAATAATATTAAAATAATTTTTTAATTTAAGATTGTGTCAAAAAAATATAATTCTTATAATGTTTTTTAATTATATAAATAAAGATAATCACTGATCACATGTCGATAAATAGTAATAATACAATTAGATCATAAAATTTGCTTATTTACAATAAACAATTTTATTTCAATTATATCTACCTATGTACCTAATATATTTGGTGAATTAACCTATTAATTAGAATGTATGGTATGAAAAATTGACAAATAAACAATAAAATAGAACTTAAAAAAATAATAAGTAATAACACATTTAAAAATGATCAACCATTCTAAATGAACAAAAAGTAGTATAATATGATACAATTTTGAAATATAGGTAATTAATTAATTATTTAACTTAAATAAAAATTTTCCACTAAAGAAATACTGTATTTTACCAACATAGTACATTGATTAAACATATTTATTATTATGTTAAAGCATAAATTTGAGCACAATACAATAAGTACGATTGATAAGAGTTAAAAAATTTTAGACATTTTTTATGTTTGTTTATACTGACCTAGTTATTTTAGAGAATCTATATTTTATGTTTTTGGAAATGCAAACAAAAGAAAAATATTTTACAATAGTTAATCAAAATTAAATTAATCAATTAAAATCTTAGTTTTTAATTTGAAAATAAATCAAAACTTAACAACATACTGAATATAATAGTCACATTGTGTCTTTGGTGCTTTAGTCATAATTTTTAAAACTAAAACATGAATGTCTGAAATAGGATGAATAATTTTGTTTAACAAATCCGAGAACGAATTATAAAACATTGGGTGTTGAGAGTTTTCATACACTCCTTCTCGTTTCCTTATGTAACGCCTATAGTCACAGTTAAAGTTCAATGCTATGTTCAAATCATCTTTATGTACTCCATGAAAAACAGTATCCTGCAATAAATTTTCAATTAAAAACAATGTAAAGCATAAAAGTATTACTATATAATACAATAATAAATTACTACCTATAATAGATTTTGTTTTCCTTTAAGTACCTCTATACTGTACACATTAAATAAAAAATCTGGTTGTATACAGTTATATGGTGCAAGTAAATAGATAAAAAAATTGCAAACATAAAGGCGCACTTATTTTATACTGCTGTTTGGGCTAGAAAATGTTAATAAAATTTAACTTTTCTTAAATACATTGAACAGTTTGTTTATTTTTTTTTCGATAATATTTAAATAAAATCATCAACAACCTACTACAGAGGTAAGCGCCTAATGCAATATTAGTACTAGGTACAATTATTCCATTATAATTAGCTATATTCGAAATCCATGTATTATCTACAATCCACACTAAGGTCAGACAGAGAGGCTAGCCCTTCCTCCAAGACCTATTATTGGATACTACCATTGATTAGTATTACTGTATTCATAATCAAAGTATACCCTATTTTATTTGTATTGTAACAAAACTGTAGTTCCCCCAGATCTTTGCTTCAGATCCGTGTGTGGACTCCACAGACCCATATATATATCGCAGTATGAAGTACACTCAGTAGATTAGCTTAGAGGGCATGGGTGATGGCCTCCCATGGAATTTTTTATTAGAGATGTTTAAAGTAGTCATATAGCCCAAGCATAAACAGGTATTAAAAATAAATACAATTATATAGTATTTAAAAGCCTCTGCTCCCCTTCCCCTCCATTAATGAACTCCAACTACACTACTAAGCACACCTATGAAGACCGCGAGTTCTATATATTGTACTAATATTAATGTACTTACTTCATAAGCGGAATTGACCATTTCACGCCTTAACATAAATCTGCCATATTGGTACGGGTTCTGCACCCTTATGATTTGACTTATGTTTGCTCCGTAAAACATAGCTTCCACATACTGGTATTCATCAGGGTTATTCAATTTGGACAAGATACGAAGGACATAACCAACGGTATAAGAGACATTGGTGTCCCAGTAGTCTGGCAAATGTTTTAAGACGAAAGACAACATCGACTGGTCCATATTCGGGACTAAATACTACAGAGCTTGATGGCGAATCCGCGAATCAAATGATGTTCGTTATTGAGTTTCCAAAAATCGTAATTCGTTGGTCAGGTTAAATATCAACAGCTGACGGAATGATCGAAAATTGCGTATGTATCGCAACGGCGCAATAAACTCTGATTGGCGTTTAGCGATCACCGGCGGGCAACGAGACATGAGTGACGATTAAAATAGGTATAAATTTATTGAAATACTTGTGACAGTAAACAGTGGTGGGGACGGGGATGGGGCGACGAGTATTCGTGCAAGTTGACAGCAAATGGCCAAAAATAAATATATAAATATCTATTTTCAATTTTGTCTGGTAAACACGACCATAATATATTATAATAGAACCATTTATTATTTAATGGGAGTAATGTGACTTTCCGGTTTATCATAACGTCTTAGGGGAAAAACCCCGAGACATGAGCTGTCTGTGGATAATTATTTGCTGTTTTAAGTTTAGAACAAGGAATTATCGTAAGTGTATTATGTATTTATTATCACTTGTATAATTGTGTTGACAGTTTTAACAAAATCCCACACAGTTTTTAGTGTTCCGTTTAAGATTTCTTATTATTAGTATTGTAAGTTATGAGATAAAATAATATTAATGTCACATCCTTATTTCGAATTTCAATTAATAGTCGAGCCATAGAAACTTTTGGTTGAAGCCAATATCAACAATAACAATTTGATTCCTCTTTTTAAGCTTAAATAAAAATGTCCGGGGTTTTTTTTTCAATATTGGAAAATGTCAGGGTTTTTCATGAAATGTGAATTTTCTTAATAATCACCTCGATATCAGTAAATAGGTATTTATATAATTGTCTTATTCTGTGTTAGTACTTATTTATTTCTAAATCACGAAGAAATTCTATAGTATTTAATTTATTTTCTTAAGTCTAAATATCAACTAATAAATGTGTACAATAAAATAAAATTTATACCTAATGATAAATTATGTTTATCATATTATTATTACAGTAGGTGTAATAGGTACATTATAAGAAAAATAAAATGTACTTATTAATAATCTTCGTGATATTGAAAAAAATGTCCTCTTTTATTGTCAACCATAAATGTTAACCCTAATTATAACTAAAATATTATAATAACTAGGTGTTCTGAAACTCCGGGGCCCGTAAAACGGGCGTATGTAATTTGCACCAAAAGTTAACCCCCGAAAAATATATTTAATATGTAATTTGCGCCACATCTAAAAATGCATTTTTGTGATTTGTGCCACATAAAACTAAACGGCAATAGCAATATGTAATCTGTGCCATTATATCCTTTCACAAATTTTAATTTACACCGTTATTTGCCTAACTCAAATTGTAATTTGCGCCACTTTCAAATAACTAAACAATTTTTTTTAAAGATTAAATAATTTCAATAAACAGTATTTCACTATACGTACGTTATTTGTATTAAAACAGCCAAGTACAATTTCGGATATTAAAAAATATATGAAATATGAAAATCAGTTGTCATATTATAATAGTTATAAACAAAAGATTACATATTGTCATACAAAAGATAACCAATTATTAGAAGTAATCGATTTCGTATTTACTTATTAGTAGAACTCAACTATATTATTATATCTCGCACGCGTTGGTATTGATGTATTATCGTATTTCCGATGCGATATAATCTATAAATTTATCTGATAAATATTATATTTATTACATTTTATAATAAAGAAGAATGCAAATAATAAAAGGTGATCATGAATAAATGTAGGTATATACTTTTATTATAAAATAACTGTTTGATGTTTTTAAGTTCAATAAAAATAAAAAGGGTTTTACCTATAGGTAAAGAGTAACAAAATCAAATAGTATTATAGTCGATTTTGTGAAGTTTATATATAAATATCAACAACGTATTGGATATAATAATCACTTTGAGTCTTGGTGATACCAGATATTTTATTGACAACCAATACGCAACTTTCGTTTATCTTTGATGCAGACCAGTTGGCAATAGCGCTCTGGACATCGTGATAAAAACGTGGATGTTTATTTTCACTTTTATTACTAGATTCATTTGTATACCTCCTGTAGTCACATGTGTGCTTCAGAGCTGTGTCTAGGTCACTTTCGTGTACAATATGGAAAACTGTGTCCTGTAAGAAAATTGATAAGTACAAAAAACGATTTTAATTGAAATGGTATAAATTACTGTCTACGGTCTACCGTAAAATAAAATATTCAAATATAACACTATATAGGTATTTAAATGTATTACAGATTACAAAATAGTTCATAACATAAAATGTCATATAAATAATGAGATAAGGTTTTAAATATTTATTTTTCACAAACATATTATTTAGCTACGTGATATCTACTATTTCTGAATCCACGGAACATAATATAGGTAAGTAATATATAAATATTATGAAATCTGTTACACAAATATCGATTATTCCAAATCTGAACTCCGAAAATCTTGTTTATACTTTAAACACACCATACAATCTTTTGTAGAAAGAAATAATTAGTAGGTAATAGATCTTTATTTTTATTGAAAGCGATCATTGACTTGTTTATATTTAAATAATATAGACAACTGTGTGTTATTGATTTTGGGTTAGACAGACATGTAATATTGTAATAATGTATTTGGGTGAGGGGTAGATAAGTAAATGGTTATGACTTTATGTCTTATGATGATTTATGATCGCAATTTGTAAGTACCTAAAAAGCTATAGATTTTTTAGGAATTTTTCAAGAGTTAATTCGTTTTTAAACCCCTATTGTACATCGTACATGAATAGCTGCGTATACAAACATGTCGTGGGCGTCGTGGCTTCGGTTCACGTGTGCTACTGATAAAAAGCAGTTAAAATATATCATGATTTAATCATAATAGTATAGTTTAAAGTGCTTTATAATTATAAGCTTTATTTTCTGGTGAGTAGTTAGTTTATCATAAATTCATAATTTATATGATATGTTCAAAGTTCTATCAGTATAATTGATATTTAATATACCTACCTATTCACATGGTTTATTGTTAACAGCTTAATAGTTATTAGAGTATACTACTTGGGTCTTGGATTACCGATAGTTTTTTGTAATTTTAAAATACATTTTAACTGGAATAAAATTATAAAATTTAGTTTAGGACAATGCATATATTATATATTATATATGTATATGTATATATTATATATACAGATATATAGATACAAAATAATGAAATAAAATAATAAAATATCAGTCAAGAAATTGTATAGCGCAAAATTAAATGTGTGGCAGACTAGGGGTTAGTACTCCGATCTCCGTTCAGTATTTTGAATACTTTAAATGTATACTATACAAATAAATATTTCTATAATTACACTGATGTTTGTAAATTCATATGTAAATATATATGCATATATAATATCTGTGTAGACCAACCATGCAGCTGATTTTTGTATTATCTTCAGTCATCAGTGTTCACTGTTCATATTATTGTCTGTAAGTACACTAGGACTAAGTACACATATTATTTTAATTTTCGTGTGTCTAATATTTTAATATGAGTCAATATTGTATCTTCAGTCTACACTTTACAGTTTACACTGATATATATATTTTTTTTTGTAGAATTTAGATCATATATACGCGCATAATAAAAATCCTGTAATGGCTGTTAGCTATTAACAGTTAATATCTAATTCGTGTGTTAAAGTGGTTAAACTAATTCTAGATTTAAGGTTCCCACACACGACACACTGCAGCGGAAGCGGTAAAATGTTTTGTCTTGGCGGTGCCGGTAAATTGTGACCGGCTTAATTGATTACCTTGTCCAGCGGTAATCGCCACCGCTGTAGTGTGTGATCTTTTTTCAGTCTGTATTTTAAATTAAAATGTATAATCATAATATGAAAATGTATATGTATTTTTCTTACCACTGAATTAGAATTCAGCATTTCTTGTCTCAATTTGAAACGACCATACTGAAAAGGATTTTGGACTCTTCGAATACTATTGATACTTAACGATGTCGAGTTAAACATTGTTTTTACATTTTCGGACTCTCTGTTTAAGTCTGGTACATCAAATAATAAATAACTGCTATTATAAGTGCTTACTGATTCCCAATCACTGGGTACGTTTTCCAACACAAATGACAGCATTGAAGTCATGATGATTAGGTATCTGAAAATGGATGGTTGATTATAATTTATAAATTATAACTTATAAATATAGCTTATGTTGAGTACATTGTACATTAATTGTACATCATATATTATACTATTGATTAAAAATGTATAAATAATAATGATTATAATCAGTGGCGTAGCCAGGATTTTTTTTCGAGGAGGGGGGCTGATCAATTTTTTACACAGCGGTGCATTAAAATACCTATTAGCACGGCCGAAGCTATAGAAAACTAACAAAATAAAGATGAAAATTTAAAATTAGTAAAATACAATTTAAGACTTTTTGAGTGAATATTGTAGACCATTGAAATAATTTTTAAATTTTATTA